CTGCATATCGTTTCACGCTCTACCGTCATCATCTATTGACATGTTTTATCTATATCCAGTTGTGTGTCACGTAACTTATTCAAAAATACAAATGCAAAAAAATGTGAGGAACATGTTAATGTAATACAGGGTTAACCGTCGTCTCCTCGGTTTTGGGTTACAGTTGGTATCTATGCGTCTTCAAGAATTAACCCGCGCCGGGCCGGGGGGGGGGGTTTGAACACCCCCCCCCCTGCGGTTTTTCGCAGATATCTCAAAAACGGCGGAGCGGAGCGCCGCCGTTTTTCGCACACCTGTTCATGCATCTTTTCCGCACATGTTGTGAAAATTTCAGACCCAGGTCGCCTTAGGTCAGGTCACCAGGTCACGCCAAGTGACCACACCTAAGAAAAAAAGAATGCTCGTCATAGCTACACCGATTGATCGATCGCCTTGAAACTTTCAGCAATTGATTAGAGCAACATTATCTATCAAATTTTTATCTCGGAATTTCGATAGCGGTGACCTAAGGTCAGGTCAATTTTGCGGCCTCTCCATTATAAGTCAATGGGTGAAAATTGAAAAGCGTCTGTTTTGCATGAACGCTATTCTAGAAACTCTCAAACATCGATATGTAGGTAAAATTGACACACTGAACCGGAAAATGGCAACTGTGACCCCTCGTTATGTCCACGAGGTCATCTCAGGTCACGAATAGAATCTAGCAGTTTTTCGCTAACTTCTGATAGAGGCGTGCTAGAGCGCTGAAAACGCCTTAGATGTGTTCGGCTCGACGTTGCGGATCGACTGATATGCAACATGACCTTTTCCGGTCAGGTCATGACCTTGACCTGAGGTCAAATTTTCAAGTTGACCTTTCAAGGTCAAATTATAGTTCATTCGACGCGTCTCGACGAGAGGAACACGATGCTGGCAAAAGTAATGTCATGGCTCTTTTGAGTCAAAAGCTATTGCCGAAAAAACGCTTTTCGTAAAAACGGCTATTTTTGGAGTTTTTGCCCTCTGGAGGCTAAACCGTTGGCCTGAGGTCAAATCTGAGAACATTGCTCAGAAAGGTTTGTAAAAGGGCTATCGAACGCGCTTTTCCGCGGCGCTGTAGCTCTATCGGTTCCCGAGATATTCGTTGGCAGTTTCCAAAATGTTGAAATAGTCAACATTTTACCTTTGGTGACCTCTGGTGACCTGACCTTTGACCTGACCCAAAAAATGACCGAAAGGTTTTCGTCCTTATTTTGGACGTTCTTTCGATTGCCGCTTACCGCGTGTTACCGGAGCCGAGTTAGAAGGGGGGCGTTCAGACACCCCTTCTAACTCGGCCCGGCGCGGAATCTCAGAGCACCGGCCCGGCGCGGGTTAAGACCAAATAAAACGCATTTGTTTCTTCACAATATCCTGTTTCTGGATCCCTTTACCTTAGCCTGGTATAAATTTCTCAGACTTGTTTTACGGCGCGATTCTCGCGTGTGACGTCACCGACCAATCGGACACGCCGTGCCCTATATTTGGGTTTCACGGAACCAGCCTTGCTCAGTGGGTGTTTCCAGCCCCCCCCCCCCTCTGACACCGCCGCTGTGAGTTTTCGAGACGCAGAAGCGCTGCGACCCAGCCAAGCGGGACGGTTCACCGCCGCCCTTGGGACACCTGCATTATGCAGCATAGACGGCGGAGGAGGCGCTATCATGACGCGGAAGTGGGACCCTGCAAGGACTATTTAAATCAGCCGCCAGACGGGCGCCACTGGGCCCAGAACCGAGCGGTGACGTCTGTGGACTGCGCTAAAATAGACTTTTTAAATCAGTCGCCCCGTGTGGTTTGAATCAGTCACCCGGCGCCACTGGACCCAGGACCGATCAGTGACATCTGCGCCACGAGAGACCGAACCCATCAGTGACGTTCTGGATCGATCAGTGATGGCTGGACTGAGTTGTGACGCCCGGAACGATCTGATGTCTCGTGCCACCAAAACTGATTGGATAGCGCAGCTTCAAATAACAAAATGAATGCCAGTAAATGAATGAATGAATGAATGAATGAATGAATAGCTTAGAGGTCTGTTCCCGTGAGCCACCGCTTATCACAAGGCGAGTCCTCTCCGAACCTGACATCATAGCAATATACTGTATTTATTATCTCAGTCCGTGTGACGGAAAAGCAAAGCAAAACATAAAATCGTTAAATAAAAAAAGTAAGCTTTAAAAAACGCTCGCCTGTCTCTACCCGACTACATGGCGTTGCTGGCAGATCACTAAGTTATTGAAATGCTAAGAGAGCTGAGGAAAAACAGCAGTAATGTCACGGAGGCACCGAAGTTGAGAGTCACGTCTGAACGGGTCGAACTCGAGAGGTGTATTGAGAATGATCATAGTTCGTCAGCGCCGGTGTCGGCGAAACCACAGCTGTGAGGCATCGTTGTTCTCTGCTTCCTCATTGCATCATGGCCGTGTGCTGGGGATTTTGCGCCCGCTTATGGCCGTCCAAGCATGCGTCACCAATCTCTGCCTGGTACGGGCCACGCCCGTCTTCCTACCAACCGGCCACCCTCGGCCTACATCGCCTTCCCATAGGTACTGCGCCGCCCGCATTGACCGGCGCAGGTGCCCCGGTAGCCTTGGTCGGCCCCTTGCGCAGTGACCCCCGAGTGGGCCACCAGGGCTTGCCGGCAAGGTCACGATCGCTCTCCCACCCTCTCACGGCAGCGAGGTGCCATCGTTGTAACGCTGATGGAACGGTTAATTGTAGGGGAAGTGGTGAGCGTGCAAGACGGTGCAAAGACCTCGTAATGGCAGAGATGTGCACTGTGCAGTGACACGGGCAGGGGGCATGCTAAGGTCCGTGCTAATGAGATGGAGAGGTACAGAAATTCCAGCAATATTTCTGAGCAGGTGAAAGAATCCGTGTTGCGTTCTAAGACTGAGCACGACATAACGCATCCGTGCGACGTCATAGTACTGCGTAATGCGTATGTCGTCCCACACCTGTCACGCCACAGCCGACGATCTGCCGATGGGATTTCTCCGTTCTTTCATGCCTCATCCCTCCGCCCTGTCGTGGTTACCCGAGCTGGCTCTAGAACGCTGGGCCGTCTCCGCCTCGCTCAATCGTCAGCACGCGTGACGTCATCGGCGTAGGGATTGGCCCACCCTGTCTGGCGAGGTCGCGGGGAGGGGGAGGGGGAGGAATGCCCAATACATAGGTACTGCAGCGGATTACCGGCTGCTCAGTGGAGCATATGCCAGTTAATCTCAGCCTGTATTCGTAGTGAGTTTGGTTGTCATGAGTTTGGGTGCTTTCTGAGTTTGATACGCGCGGGACGCAGATTGATTCTGATTTGTGTCCATTTCAAAGCCTATTCAAAGTCTTACATAATTCACTAAGGTACTACAATTTCTCAATTTCAATTAGAACCTATCTACAACATACATTTCAGCACTTCAAGAGCGGCCTGATTGGCAGTGAGGTGGAGATCCGTATGTGTTTATTACATATTTTTATCCGCGCTCAATTGTGAATATGATCAGACGGCGTCGGCATGTTCATTGCATTCACATCGAAAAGGACATTTGTTACATACATATGTGTGGGTATAAATGTGTTAAGTATAGCTCCCCAGCTTTGTGCGTAGCTTTAGATCAACATGTTTGCGTCATTATAAGCGCGAATAGTGTGCATGCTCGGTGATCACTCACCGCATGCCTGATTACCGAGGGTAGCTATATTTTACCGACTTTCGTGAGGTTTGTGACGAGCTAATTTAGTGGGCAATCGCCATTTGCCCTACAGGCTGAAAACAAGCAAAACGATATAATAGGTGGTAGAATGATAAATGTCAATGATCCTAAGAAAATTTGCAACTGTAACTTATTTATTTGTTATCGCTATTTCTGTTGCTTACTGTCTTGAAAGTTTATTTCTTATGTAATGCTTAGATCCCTGTAATTATTGTTACGTTTTAATTATTTAGATCGAAATCGTAAAATATTTATCAAGGGAAATAACAAGTTATCGAAATGTTCGAAAGCCCCATATACCTAAGGGCGATTAAATTAAGAAAAGTATGTGCACCAGGTGAGTCAATACTAATTCAGAATACCTAAAATGAGTAAGCTCGGAATTTTAAAAACTGGTCCTATTGTCCAAACAAGAATACCTAGTTATCAAATAATGGAACATATCAACCATGCAATAAGAAAATAAACAATGGCATTACTGGAAAAAAGGACGAAATTGCTAGACAATAACCACCTCACGTATACACAGACATTGGACAGAGCTTGGGACAGAGGCAGTTTCTACATAAATAGAAATCCAACCTTGTTTTGTCGTTTCTGCTTCTGACGTTTTTCTTGTTATCAGCAGGACACACAGCACAGCTCCGCCGTTTTAAAATGCGACTTGTGTGGTCAATTATAAAGACCGGTGGTCGACGAGCAACATATGCCATTGTGTTGCCTGTTGGTATTGCGATTTAGTGGGAATGTGTGGCTGTCTTAGCTCTTCGCGACTTGCCTGTTTCTTTCAAATATTGCCGTTATTGCATCAGCCATGCCTTGCAAGATAGAAGTCAGAGCGTCACTTACATACACCATTCCTTACTTTGATGCATCACAGTTGTTATCTTATTACCATTAATTTCATAATATCTTTAAAATGTAAATGTGAGTTTCTATTCATAAAATGTAAATATAGTTGATTACTGATTGCATTGCAATACCCAATTGGTACTGAGTATTTTAGTGAAATGGCAGTGCCAGTTACACACATTGCTCAATACTGCCGTACTGCCTACGTTATAAAAAAACGTGTTCGCCTCCCTCACTTCCTATTCAAGCATCGCCGTCGCCAACGTCCTTCGCACCACATACGCCGCGTAAATCCCGTACTATGGCCACTCATCGGGAAACTCCCACACTTCCCGAGCTAGCTGGAACAGGTGCCAGGGAGGGAGGAATGAGAACGAGGAGAGGAAGAAGCAAAGGAGAGAGGAGAGAGAGTGACAGAATGGAGGACAGTTTTTGTGGTGACCTGAGGCCTCTCGTGACCAAGGTCGCGTGAGGTTGCAGTGCCGCCCCGCACCCCCGCGGACCGGGGCCTCAGTCTGACCCGGAGCTGAGTTAAGTACACACCGGTTTGATGCAGTCGGGAATAAACCTACAGCAAGATAGCTATATCAGGGGTTCGGTGGATGCAGGGGTTCGTTGTCCCCATGGAGATATGACTTATGGATGATGAACCTCCATATTTAAGATCTGGTGGTCGTTTTCGTGTTAACAATTTATAAAAGCAGTTCCTCATTTCAAGTTGTATTTGTTAATTTGTCATCGGATCATTGCTTAAGAAAATGATTTTTTCGAACATTCTACGAATGCAAGACTGTCGCACGTAACATTTTGGCTTACGATTTTTATTTTCTAACTTTAAGGCGATTAAAAGGCACTCAAAATGTGCCTATTCGTTTTTAAGATACATTTACCAATATTTCAATGCTAATGCATTTGGGTCATGTTTTACATTTTACTGAAATGGTTGTCAATATCCATGTTATGGCATCAAAAAAGAGAAAGAGCGATGATAAATTTACAGCTCAGTTGCGTTACACACTATGCCGGTCGGTGCCATGCAGACGGTCGCTGCAGAGAATACAATCGTTCTCGGCTGGGCGGCACTCGGTCAGTAGCCCACTGGCCGTCTCAGGGTCATCAGGGGGAACATCGCACCTTGTCCAGCCGCGCCGGGAGGGGGCGGGATGTTCCAGGACCGTCACCACGCGGCTGGAAGTCCCAGTCGCGCTGCTGCCGGTTCAGGGCCGGCCCTGACCCCAGGCGCCGCCGTGCAGAGGGGCAGATAAAGGCGGCACCTGTCCGCTGGCCGCCAGTGGATACCTCAGAGGCGTGCAGGTGACTCGCTGCAGAAGAGACAGAACATACCTACTGAGACAGCGAACAGGTAGTGTACGGGATACGTGTGCCGCTTGCCTATTGACTTGCATAGCAAAGGTTTAAGTAAGAATTGCTTGAACTTTCAGTAGAGCGGCGCTAACATTTGCCATTTTAGGAAAGCACTCTGCGGTCTGCACTCTGATCAAAACTACCTAAGAAGTTAAACTGCCGCTTTATTTGATAGCAATTTTTAATACAAACACTGTAAAAATCATTTCGGGTCATAATTTACCTACGGCTTCCCTAGGTTACCATTTCTGCTCTCGCTCCTGCAGTCTTCACATCTAGCCCGCGTGATCTTCTTTCAGGATGAAGCTGCTGCTGTTGTCTCTGAGTCTGGTGGTCGTGCTGGGCGAGCACGAAGACCGTCACGCCTTGAGACACGCCCAGAGCTACCCGGACAGCTACTACCCAGATCGACACTACCCGGGCCCCTACCCAGACCCCTACCCGGGCACCGGCAACCCTTACGTGCGCCCCTCCGGCTGCAAGTACGTACAATCATAATTTTTATGCTCGGCCGGTCCCCGCTAGCATCATGAGTGGCGAGAAGATTAAAAATGGTTGAACAAAAATGATAGATAACCAAAACACGCTACCTTATCGATCATATAAAATAAAATGAGAACATTGAAACCTAGTCTCAGACCTTACGAGCAGTACCTACGAAAATAGTTTTGGACCTGAAGTGTTCCAGTGACTATTTCCACCTGTGCCCTTTCTGACACGTTCCCATTATCTGCTCGACAGAAACTGGTGCCGTTATGACGACAACTACCGTCCCGGCCTCTTCCACGGCCGAACCCGGTACTACTGCTGCGACCACAGCGCTCCGGTCGTCTACCCCAGGCCACCGTACCCCTACCCGACGCGACAGAGTAAGTAGTCATAATCGTAACCCTTTCTGAAACACCTGAGCTTGTGGTCTAGCGGCCGGCATTTTACGAATTTGGTGTGAACCGATTGAAAGGGCTCTTCATGGTGACGGGAGAGTCAGGTGTCGTCTCAGTTTAGAAAATAGCACACACTGAAAAAAATCGGGGAACCTCATTTCTTACAATCTGACACCACATACTCCAAAATACTCCTAAATTAGGCTCCGTTTTCATGATTTTAGGATGTCATGGGTGTTGTGACACCCGACACGGGAGCCCCATTACCTTTTGACGCCGCAAAAATGTACATGACCCCCTTGGGAGAGGTTCGGCTAGCGAACTCCCCAAAAATTGCAGGCCAAAAAATTGGAGTGTCGCTGAGACACCCCCGTTGAAACCCCTCTGGGGTGTCATTATCCTGGAGTGACACCCCGTGTTTTCAGCTTCAAATCCTACCGATAGATGGCGCAAACTAAAGTTGGTAAAATCGGGACCTGTTTTTCACGAATGGCTGGTGCATGTTTGGAGCTAAGGCAAAAGCGTGCATAGCGTAGAGTGGCCAACTATATCATGATGATATCTAGACTGATTACCGTGTCATACGTTGGTCGTGCACACTACAGGGCGCCGCAAGGCCGCGAACGGAAAGAGTAACTCCTCACCCGGTTATAAATATAGTCTGAGATTCTCGTTCCGAAGGAACTCACTGCACCCGGCACTCGTGCCGGGTGCAGTGAGTGCCTTGGGGCTGGGTGGCCTGTCCTCTGGACGGGCTCAGCCCCGGCGACTCACTAGGGTGCCTGCCCAGACCAATGTCTCCCCCTAATTCCTATCATCCTTCCGGCTCTGCAATGGTCTTGTCGACCGAAAGGGCCTAACCCAACAAAACAAACAAGTTCCGAAGGACATTTAATCCTCGCCGGGAGTTTTTCGGAAGTATAGGGGAGTGAAACTTCTCTGAGAGATTCCCTGCTGAAGGCGCGCGGTTCCCCGCGTGGGGGTCAGGAACAATATGGGGAGTTATATCAGAAAAATAGGGAAGTTGAGCTGCTATATTTTACACCCTAATTTGGGAGTTTGACACCCTGTCGGGTGCTTAGGGACCAAAAAGGGGTGCTCGGCTGATATTTGAGGGGTGTCACCTGCAGTCTAACGGAACCCCATGTGGGCCGGCGCTGACCCCCCTTTAGCGGCTGCGACTCCCCACTATGCGTCAAAACCCTCCTGGGGTGTACGCCAAACACCCCATTTATAATAGCTCAGCGACTCCCCTCAAAACACCCCACTCGGGTGTTATTTTTGACATGACCGTCAATACCCCGTACAGGGTGTCATTTTTTCTTTCAGTGCAGCTTCACGATTCCGGAAATTTTGTGAGCAATGAGAATCCATTCAAAACTGTCAGCCCTTTTTAATTTTTCCATTGCTCATTTAAATAAAACATCTGACGGCCATGACCCTGAACCTGTGCACGGGGTCTTAGACGTGCACATATTTATTCATCGCCAGGGAATATACCCCGGCCTCAAGAAGTCATGCTATGCACGTTGATCGAACGAACATGGGCCCCCGCCCGAGTGAAGTTCGATAGCGACGCTAACCGTCGTCTGTCAGCCCTTTGTTCTCCCTGATCAATGTCAAGCACATTGCTGCCTTCCAAAACCTTGTAGCATGCAATATGCATGGTCAAGATCGATGCAAGTTTGCATAGCGAATCTCACTTCCCCTTCAAGGGAAAAAATATTCAGTGATCAAAAGGGCCATTGAATAGGGGCGCCAGATAATACATTGTGTGATGGTGTTGCAGTTGAATAGAACATGCTTCAGTGGAATGACTATGAATGCCATAAAACGCGTTGCTGGTGTCAATGTCCATATGTTCGTAAGATGTTTTATCTGGGTACAGGTCGACTGATTGACGCAAAGTTCCCTTCCCCTACCCCTACCCCCACCCCTACCCCCACCCCTACCCGTACCCGTACCCCCACCCCCACCCGTTCGGCCCTCTGCGCCTGTAGAGATCTGCCCGCCGTCCCCTGCGGTGTGCACGCGCGTCTACTCGGCCTTCGGAGCACCCACCGAGTGCTACTCGGACTCTGAGTGCTCCACCGTCGACCTCTGCTGCTACGACGTCTGTCTCCGGCACAAGACCTGCAAGACGGCCGACTACGCTGAGGGCCCGGTGCGGCCGCGGCCGGTGCCCTACCGCCCCCGGCCCGGAAACATTTTCACAGGAATCATCGGCTCCCTGCTGGGCCGCAGCTCCTTCGATGAACCTCACTCGGTCGCTGCCGCCGATCAGCCTCAGGAGGTCGTGGCACTGAGGAGCGCCAAAGCCGATGATAAAAAGAAACACGAGTAGGCTGGGACTGAGGTGGACTGAGACGCGTATTTATTGCTGCTGTCGCAATGTGATCTGCAGTTGTGCTGTCGATGCTGCCAGCAAAGTACATAAATGAGTGGTTGTCAAGCGATATGAGCTCTGTCACCTGATTCAATTCGGGTGTTTCATCAGCATTTAAGCGAAAATGCCAACTCTGGCGGGGTGCTTCGACGCTGCCATTGTAATGCTTCAAAATGATGCAAAGGGATCGTGGCATTTCTTGTTGCCTGTCTGTGACGTCTGTATGGCGTGGGAATGATTATAAATGACATATAAGTGTCGCAGAAGAAAGACACGGTGCCAATCAGACATTGCTGTTTAATAAGCGCGGTTATTATCAAAGCCACAAACAGGTGTTCACTGTTCCGTGGATGAATGGTCCATCCATGAGAATATAGCAGTGTGTACTTTATTGAGGTGTGATTGAATATTGTCGAAATAAAAAAGCGTTTTACTTTGTATATACAGTTTGCAACTTGCTATCCTGTCAATCATCACTTGATTATGGTGTGCGCCCTTACATACCGTTTTAAATAAACTTAATAAAAAATTAACTAGAAAATCCGTTGGTTTATTAATTGATTACGAGTAAACGGATTACTTGATGTTATATTACGGTGATGACATTTTGCACTGGTCATAATACTTAATCGCTCTTCATAAATACTTTTGCTTTCCTGTTATAAGACATACCTTGAAACTGGAACAGTAAATAAATAGAAATTAAAGCCATAACAAAAGTGACTGATCACTGTTTGCCTCGTTTTGGAGCTCTGCTGGCCATAGCTTTTTTCGATTTAGCACCACGCTTCATAGGTCTGGTGCATCCTTGTTTGATCTTGCGTTTCAGAGGTGTGCCCGAGACCCTACTGGCTGAAGACGTGGTAGAAACTGACCTTGACCGTTTGACGCACGACTGAATTTTGGCCCGTTTTGTTCTAAAAAGACGTGGATGGGGAGAGTTGCGCCGTTTGAATTTTGGACGACTTGGTTGTCCAGACGTAGATGGCATTGTCTCTTGAACTACCTGATATCTAGGTCTTGATCTATCAAGCCTTGCATTACCCGATCCCGAAGCCCAGCTCGATATGGATGAGCAGGAACGGCTCTGTAAAGATCTTGGCACGAAATCAGACCATTGTGAAAGTGACGTGTTTGACGGTGAAGACGAGGGATCATCGGGTACTGAAAATCGCTTGAGCTGTTTCACGCGAGAAGGAACAACTCGCTTTGACGCTGATGGTTTGACACCATTTCGAATTAGACCTACACTATGTTGCTCTTTTTCGTCACTGCAACCTTGTGCTGACAGCTTTTGAACTTTTTCCCTCGACTTCTTCGACAAGGTCTCAGAAGCTTTCAAATCGGTTGCGTTCTTCGGTGCTTTTTTGTTTCCCTTGGCAGGAGTCGATGTTGTTTGTTTTCTTAATCGAGCTTTTGGTTTTAAACTCCTCTTAGCTTCCTTCTTTTTCTTTAGTTCCTGAGTTTCGAAGAGGAAGTTCAGCTCATTCCGAATAGATCCTGCTGAGACTGGCTGAACTGAATCTGGACGTCTTTTGGAGCCTCCGTCCCCGGCCATTTTCCCTCTTTTTGCCATGTTTTCAGATTGTGAAGAAGTTGATAAATTTAATTGGTGACCAAAGACAAAAAATGTAATATGGACAATTAGACAAAACACAAACTTATATCGAAATAATTTTGAGACACATTAATTTTTCATAAAAAGTGATTACGCACGGGCAGTTTTGAGCTACGTGCGCACCATATGCAGAGACTTGTGTAGGTATTTGCTTTTGAAATTTTAGTTCAGCTACCGCGCAAAAAACATGTAGCTAAAAAGCAAGTATTACAAGATCTTCAAATATCTAACGGTTTATTTTAGCGACCCTTTATGACCATCATATCAGCCCTGACCACGCCGGCCGCCGGGGAGGGCGTTTTACCCCTTCATCTTAAGGTGCCCTGACACTTGCACGACTTTCGGTCACGATTTTGTCGTGGCAAACCGTGTAATTTTCGTGCACGAACTGGGATGGCTCCCGCACTGTTCACGACTAGTGCACGACCAGTTCACGACGATTTCACGAATAATTCACGAATGCGTGCCCATCAGTGTCCACATTGACACGGACTGGTACGACGGGTTCACGCATACTTTCCGCATAGCTTGCGCATAGTTTACGCACTTCCCGCATTGGCAGGACAAGTTTGCGCAATTTGTGCCGACTTGGGCATGCCGACTTGGGACCTCCCATTTACCAATTTCTCCGTGTCCTGGCCTGACCCATCGTGAGCTCCAGTGACACAAATGTCCTGACTACGGTCAGGACAATGTGACCAGTTTGACCTGGACTGACCTATCGTGACTTTGGCTGACCTCTGTGAACTGGCGTGACCCATCGTGACCTCATGGTGACCTCTGTGACCCAACCTGACACGGTGTGGCCTAATTTGACCTTTGTGACCTAGCCTGAGCCCGTGTGACCTAGTTTGACCTCTTTGACCTGAAATGACCCGTCAAATACATTTTCGGTTATGACTTCCCATCTAGGCGTCCAATCGACTCTGGAAAAACACCAAACAATCCCAAATTTCGCGCTGCGAAGCAAGCCGAGATCCACACATTGGCAAGGGCTGGTACGACGAGTTTACGAATACTTTTCGCATAGTTTGCACATAGTTTACGCACTTCCCGCATCGTCCCGACGAGTTCACGACGACTTCACGAACAGTTTACGCATAGTTCACGATCCGGTCACGAAATTTTGTCGTGACCAAAACTTTTAACATTTCAAAGTTCTCGCCCCGACATGGCACGAAGTCACGACGAGCTAACGCACACTTCACGTCAGTTTACGACTAGTATGCGCACGGGCACGATTCGATTCGTGCCAATGCGTGCCATGAAATCGTACAAGTGTCAGGGCCCCTTTAGGTTTTCTATTGGTACCTAATTTACGTCAGCAGACACTCCACGACAGGGTGGCTATTTCCTGTCAAATGTCCATATGCACATTCATTCCACTTAATGAAAAGTATGTTTTCAAGTATAAAAGAAAACGCTAGAAAGAAAAACTAAGAAACGCAAGAGAAAAAAACGTTTTACGCGAAAAAAATATGCATGAAGAATGACAAGCTGCCCTTTACAGTTAATTTATTGTTCATTCGACGACTCTATTCATGTTGAATCAGTTCTGTTATCTGTACCTTGCTAGCTTTGGATCTAAAATTTCTTGAAATTAGTGTGCATCAAATGTTAATGCAGATGAAAGGCATCCACAAAAACGTTAGATTATTTTAACTCTGGAGACTAACTGCATTGCGCTAAGGTCCAAGCTCAGTTGAATCAAAGGAAGCATCAAATCGCAACTTGCCAAATTAATTAGGAAAACCACAGCCGCATTTTCCTTCAACAGTCAGCCTTCCTGTCGACTTTGAGTCAGCTCAGACGTCACGAATTTCAGCATAATGTCAGCTCAATAACGACTATCATGCCAAAACCCATGAGTCCGATCTGCTCTCGCTGGACGGAGCCTCCTGCACCATCATGCAGATGCAAACACTGTGCAAGGCTAAATATGTGGGAACTCGTGCCCCACCGGTTGTCGCCATTATTAACCATGTTTTATGGCATGCCCAACTGGCGTGACCCATCTTAAGGTGGGTCTAGTGCACGACCAGTTCACGACGATTTCACGAATAATTCACGAATGCGTGCCCATCAGTGTCCACATTGACACGGACTGGTACGACGGGTTCACGCATACTTTCCGCATAGCTTGCGCATAGTTTACGCACTTCCCGCATTGGCAGGACAAGTTTGCGCAATTTGTGCCGACTTGGGCATGCCGACTTGGGACCTCCCATTTACCAATTTCTCCGTGTCCTGGCCTGACCCATCGTGAGCTCCAGTGACACAAATGTCCTGACTACGGTCAGGACAATGTGACCAGTTTGACCTGGACTGACCTATCGTGACTTTGGCTGACCTCTGTGAACTGGCGTGACCCATCGTGACCTCATGGTGACCTCTGTGACCTAACCTGACACGGTGTGGCCTAATTTGACCTTTGTGACCTAGCCTGAGCCCGTGTGACCTAGTTTGACCTCTTTGACCTGAAATGACCCGTCAAATACATTTTCGGTTATGACTTCCCATCTAGGCGTCCAATCGACTCTGGAAAAACACCAAACAATCCCAAATTTCGCGCTGCGAAGCAAGCCGAGATCCACACATTGGCAAGGGCTGGTACGACGAGTTTACGAATACTTTTCGCATAGTTTGCACATAGTTTACGCACTTCCCGCATCGTCCCGACGAGTTCACGACGACTTCACGAACAGTTTACGCATAATTCACGATCCGGTCACGAAATTTTGTCGTGACCAAAACTTTTAACATTTCAAAGTTCTCGCCCCGACATGGCACGAAGTCACGACGAGCTAACGCACACTTCACGTCAGTTTACGACTAGTATGCGCACGGGCACGATTCGATTCGTGCCAATGCGTGCCATGAAATCGTACAAGTGTCAGGGCCCCTTTAGGTTTTCTATTGGTACCTAATTTACGTCAGCAGACACTCCACGACAGGGTGGCTATTTCCTGTCAAATGTCCATATGCACATTCATTCCACTTAATGAAAAGTATGTTTTCAAGTATAAAAGAAAACGCTAGAAAGAAAAACTAAGAAACGCAAGAGAAAAAAACGTTTTACGCGAAAAAAATATGCATGAAGAATGACAAGCTGCCCTTTACAGTTAATTTATTGTTCATTCGACGACTCTATTCATGTTGAATCAGTTCTGTTATCTGTACCTTGCTAGCTTTGGATCTAAAATTTCTTGAAATTAGTGTGCATCAAATGTTAATGCAGATGAAAGGCATCCACAAAAACGTTAGATTATTTTAACTCTGGAGACTAACTGCATTGCGCTAAGGTCCAAGCTCAGTTGAATCAAAGGAAGCATCAAATCGCAACTTGCCAAATTAATTAGGAAAACCACAGCCGCATTTTCCTTCAACAGTCAGCCTTCCTGTCGACTTTGAGTCAGCTCAGACGTCACGAATTTCAGCATAATGTCAGCTCAATAACGACTATCATGCCAAAACCCATGAGTCCGATCTGCTCTCGCTGGACGGAGCCTCCTGCACCATCATGCAGATGCAAACACTGTGCAAGGCTAAATATGTGGGAACTCGTGCCCCACCGGTTGTCGCCATTATTAACCATGTTTTATAAAACATCGCTGTGAATGTGAATAAAACAGCGAATGAATGGCCACTAGCGGATGAATGAATGTGCCGGGTTATGCAATATTTCAATCACACTTCACACTGTTCTTAACTGGGTGTGAGCGAGAATGTAAGTAAAGGTTTTCGCGGTGAGAGCCGGCGTCAGTCCATCCGTACTCTTCAAGTCAGTCAATCCGCCTGTTCTCCACGCCAAACGCTGAGCGATTCACGGGATGATGAGATTGCCGACTTGTGGCAGAGAGCATGGCATCAAATCCATAGTTTCGAGCATAATATCAGTTGAAATAACGATACATTACACCCGAACCCATGAACTTTGAACCAATCGCTGAAGCGGCTTCTTCCAAAGGCTGCACCGGTCCGAGGATGGTGAAACTGGTAGGATCTCACGTGAGGTCCGCGCAGATATGAGCGAAGAATAAAAGCAGATCACAAAGCTAAAGAAAAAGTGCTTACGAGCCAGAGATTGCACTGAGATAAAAACATTATAAAAGATCCGGTGAAGTGTAATTGGGAAATTAAAAATTACAATAATAGAATGGACAGCGATTTGAAAAACGTTATGTACGATTTATGTATCATGATTCGCTATAGCTTACGGTTCGGACAAGCTGCATGTTTCATTTGATCAATAAATACTGAGATGTTTTTCATCGCTGTCAAAAAAAAGTGTTCTTTTTCACACCAGCGAAGTGCGTCTCGCCTTTCGAGGTCGCTGCGGCTGCTTACCTGTCATGGCGGAATTCCAAGCTGCTGCTCAATCCGCCGACCAGCAGACCGTCCAGACTTCAGATCCCGTCTGTACTGTCCCAGCTTCGTGACCCGTCAGCGGCCCTCCGGCTCCCTCCAGAGTCTGACGAGTGCCGGCGGGGTGCCCCGAGGGCGTCGCTGCCGGCGGGCAACCCGATCCGGCGACGCCAGCGGGCGTCACCCGGTGCTGAGGCGGCAGACGGACTTTGTACCGGTCTCCGGTTCGGGCAGCGGCGTCCTGCCATTGTTCGAGCCCCACCCCCGCTCCCCATCCCCACTGATCCAGTGAGCTCGACCTCTCAGATCGCCGAGCGGACTCGGCCGCCTCTGTTGGGGCTGAGCCAGCATCGCCAGACAGACAG